ATATCAATATCATTAGCCACCCAGATGGTATAGCGGTTAGGGGAGCCAATTTTGATATCAAAGGCCCTGAGTTCAAATCCCAGAGAAGGCATAGTTGTAACACACATTTTGCAGAAATTATTTTTCTCATGAAGTAGTAACATCTCTATCTACTTTAGGTATTTTACAAAGCCTTTTATCTTAATTTTAGAACTATTTACTTCTTCCTTATAAAATGTAATAAGTAGGTTCCTTTGGTCGAGGATTCCAGATAAAAGTTTCTGTAAAGATAACCACCAGCGTTTACACACATTTGAAAATTTTTGTCATTTCAGTCTTATGCAGCTGCTCGAGTTGTTCCAATTTTCTCTTCCTTTTAGAATTTTTTTCAAGATAACAAATATCAACAATGTGTTCATCCACACTTAGTAGCAAAGAAGCTGTCCCGTTTTCAGCTGCTAAATTGAAGAGGTGACAGATGTACATCATAGTTTGAAAATCTGATTTTTTTTTTTTTTTTTTTTCCCCTTTTAAAAGATGCCTGCAACACCAGTCTTCAAGCTTACCATTACTGATGCATTGTTGGCACAAAGTGCTAAGTATTTATCTGGAGGAACTGCATGTTCTTTTAAAGTTTTGATAATTAGCTGCACTATATTAAAGCCAATCAAATCTCCTTACGTGGGGACAGAGAGTAAACTATAATCAATTTCTGATGTCTCTGGATTAAAAAAAGAAACATTTGGATACAGTTTTGCATCAATCCATTCATATCAAGGCAGAATGGAGCTGTTTTAATGCAATAAATAACTGAAGATTTATTTTTCATAACCATTTCTTTTGTCCTTGCCCGAGGGTTGCTTAGCAATTATGCTATTCGGAAGAACAAGCATTCTGCATTAATAACTGTTCAGTCCTTTGTTTACATATAAAAATTCTATTTTATTTATTTATTTATTTTTCAATACAACTTATGTTGTCTTTGTGTACGTACATGTTTATAAACATTGGCCCTTCCACCGTGCGAAATCATAAAATTGCAATAACAAATAGTATACACCGCAAATTCATTACATTTCCTTGATGAAATAATAGGAGGAAAGTCACCTGTACATGAATTTTGAAAGGTACATGAGCATTTTACGTTCTTTGCTGACATAACTAAGACAAAAGATTGCAATTTCTTAAACTATTTCTCGAAAACACATGAAACTCGGAGCGCTCAGTGGCAAGATGAACGAGATAACAACCTTAATCTTGCTTTGTGCTTATTGGTTAATATATGTGAGATGACTTGCAGTGGCGCTTGATGCTCATTGGAGATCTGGAACACAACATTTTCAGATACATATGCTATCACACACAAAGCAGAAGCGTGCCATAACGTTTCACTGATAAAATGATTTTGGGTTTTTTTGTATGTAATCTAGAGGAAAAAAAAAAACAGTGCTCTCACACACAAAAAATCACTTTTTTGGTTTGTAAATAATAAAATATTAAGTTAAGCTATATAAAATTCATGAGAAATTTTAAGAATAAGAGAAAGTCGGAGAAAATGTGTTGCATATTGGATTGGTGGAAGCACCATTGGATTTCAGAAGAATTGGCAAATCTGTAAAATATGCTAAAAACAGAAAAATTTCTTCTGTTTGTGATAGAACCATGAAAACATACAGTTTTAAAGGTATTAAATCTTTGTCTGTACTTTACAAAGCAAAAAAGAAAGCACAGATAAAATGTGAAATCTTTCCAAAAATAACTGCAAAACCTTCTGCTCACCCCCCCCCCCAAAGCATACAGTAAAGAAACATACTGTTACTTCTTGATGACTGCACTGTGCTATTTTAACAAAAAGTTTACTAACATAATTACCCCAAAATGGAAATAGATCAAGTACATTATTTTATTTACTGAAGAAATTTGAAAAGCATTTGAAAATCCATAAAACACAGAAATTGGATTTTAATATAACTTTTGGCTTCTGATTTCAGCTTGTAAGAGAAAGAGAATAGAGGAAATATGTGATACAAAATGAATGAAAATTAAACAGTTGTATGATCTAATATATAGATTTAAAAACAGTAATTTTCAAAAAATGTTTTATTCAATAAAGCCAAATATAAAGTTTTTGACTTTATATTTGGCATTTTGACTTTGCTTTTATAGATATAATGGTTTACATTTACTGATAATTCATTATGCAATAATGAATGTTTTTAATTCAGTCTACTATAAAATTCCTGCTTTGCACCATTCATGTAAATTGTATTTTGTTTTTTGGTTTAAATATTTACATAAATTAGGCATTAAATACTGAATTTTCATTTCTGTTCTTCCTTAAAGCCTTTTTCATGGCATGCATATAATTTTATTACAGTTCTTCAGATGTCTTAATCCCAGTCAAACACAGACATGCCTCAATATCAAAGTCTCAATAATTTTAATTTTACTGCATTTTAAAAAAGTATAATAAATGATTTCACTAACAGTTTTGATTAGACAATGCTTATTTAAAGAAAATAAAATTATTTGAAACTGTTTCACTTCACAAATAAGAACAAACAAATGTTTTTAAAACTTATAAGAACCAACGTTAGCATTCATAGACAGACAATCTCACAAAGAATTATGTATGCAAATTATACTTATATAACTAAAAAATCAGAGAAAAAATAATGCATATGTGATAGTTAGATATAATACTTAAAAAACAAATTAGTTGCAGGTGTTTAAATATTATTAGTAGATATCAATGTTTAGAACATTTTTGTTGATATTTTCTTTAAATTTTAAATTTTCTTAAAACACTTTAAAAAAAAGCAGATCAACAAAGTGGAACAAAAATGGAAAGGGAGAACTTTTCACAGATGCATATTCATTTTGGATTCCTATGTAATTATTCAGGTAAAATTTTTACAGACTTATTCATGAAGAAATATAAATGCATAAAAATTTAAAAAGAGCAACTTAAATTAATAACATTTTTGAGGAGGACAGAAAACAGAATGGAGGAGTATTTATCATAAGGAATTCTGAAAAATTTCCTCACAGAATCCAACCCTGTTTATAAAACATATAAAAAGCAGTTAATTCATTATATCACTGACCTTCTCAAAGGCAGTACATTCCAGAGTTTATTGCATGGAATATTTTAAATCTCAATAAGATGTCAATGCAGATATCTCAGTCTAATCACCTGCAGCAACAGCAGAGCAATTATAAGTGTCTAGATAAAATAAAAAAATGCACTTTGGAGTTTTGCACAATATTATGAACAATGCTGCACCTTGAATAACAGCAATCATGGAAAATAAAATATTTGTCAAAATTATTAAAAATTTTTCCATTTATATGGAAATTTTTAAAAAATGCAATAATATTTTCAGTGTTAAATCTTAAAATACATTCCCTCATAGCAGAACAAAGTTTTCACTTATTTAAATTTAAATCTGATTAATTATACAAATTTAATTCTATTATACTAACAATAGTGCCTTTTTAACTACTTATTAAGAATATGATTTGTGTTCATAAACGTTAATATTTGGTTCAGCAAAAATAAGCAAACTGCAAATAAGCCAGTATAAATTAGACTATGACATGAAAATGAAATATGATGAACATTACTATTAAAGTGCATTAAACAGTATTACGGATTTTGTTTAATATTCTAACATAGCAATGTAAGGATAGTATTTATTGCCCAGTTACACTTTTTCAAAAAAGGCATATATTACACATACTGAAAACATATATTAGACATATCAATATACAATATACTTTATAAATTTAAAAAGGATAACTTAGGTATCTTACCTATATAATTTCAAACAAATATGTGCCATTAACTTCTGAACAATTATATAAATTAGGAAGGATAAATCTATCTAACTTGTAAAAGTGTACAGGTTAAATTGCTTCACCCTTCCTCCATGAATAAATACACATACATAAATCAGTATGCCATCTTAATTCAGTAATACTTATTCTCTACCATTTAATATTTTTAGATCCAAATATAACAGAACATTCTTATATATCACAAAGCTCTTGGACAGCTTTACAACCTAGCCATGAATTAAGCATAGATTTAAAATTCATTCAAGATTCTGTATAATCATCTGAAGAAAGTGGGGTCTTTCTGAAAAAATGGGAAGAGGTCCAGTCCAGGCCATAATAAATCAGTGGCATTCCACTCACCCGAGATGAACAGTGTGATTGATCTGCTCAGTCCTATGAATTACTTCAAGACTTTCCTGAAGAAGTGAGAGAAGCAAACTATTTTAAACAATTTAAAGAAAGAAGGTCCTCCCAAAAAATATAAGACAGATATGCAAAGTCACTTCTACCTCCAGTGGAAGACTCAAACTAAACAAAAAAACTACAAGACTAAAATTCTTTTGATTTTTTGTAGTTTCGGTCAGCTTTTGAGAACCTATTACAAATTACTAATATGTGTTCTACATACTGAATGCCATCGTAGAAAGAATAGCATTCTTTTCTTTAAATTTGTTACGTGAAAGAAAAAAATTTTACAGGTTTAATTTTTTTCTTTCTAATTGTATATACTTTTATAAATAAAAACTCAAAAAAGTAGATATGCTTTCTTTTTAAAAATGCTAAATTTATTAATTTTTTACTCTAACAATGTAATTATTAAATTCACTTTTCTTTTACTAAAAATGTACTGGAATAAATAATTTATTACAATACACTCTTTAGTATATTATAGTACTCTTTTTTTTTTTCTTTCTTCACAAACTATTAATTAAAAAAAATAAAAAAAAAACCTCTTTAGTATACTCAATATACTCAGAATGCCTTGAATTCAGCTACAAGAAACCTAAGTGACTGAATTCAGGACAAAACTTATTTTTCCCAGTGCTTTCCCAGCACTAAGAGAAATACACAATGATACAACATACCTGCAGGTGATTAGACTTTTGAATAAATAACTCTGGAATGTACAGAATAAAAAGGTCTCATTTTTAAAACATTTTATAAAGTAAATGAAATCAAACCTGTTATGATCAGGTCCTACTTGGGAATACTTATATTCTGGATTCATCTTATTGACTTGAAGGAACTGATGCAACCGTGATTTAGCATTGTCTAATGTCCAGTTTCCATGAATTCCAGAATTAATATCTAAATCTTCAGCCTGTTAAACATTCCAAATAAAATAAAAATACTTTTTCTTGCATTGTTAAAAAGAAATTAAGATCCACACACACACATAAAAAAAATCCAAATTCTGATTATGAGCTTAAAACACATTATTAATATTAATAATGATCAAGAGTTAAGTTCTTATGTTCCGTTAGCCATGCATAAAATAGTATTTTTTAGATTCACAAGAGAATTAAATGAATTTTTGACTGAAACAAATTTTGGTACTTATATATTATCCCATCAGCCATGAAACTGTCACCAAGCAGTGCAATTTAATGCCATTTCTGGATAAGCGTGATGTCACAACATGCTCATAACATCTGCACTTTCGTTTGATGTAACCCTGATTGGTTCTTGATAGACCACCTTTTGTTTTTATAAGCAATGATGGTGTTGGTGTTGGTGTTGGTGTATTTAATTATGGCAAAGCACACGAGGGCTATCTGCCTAAAGGGAGGGATGCCTTTCGTGGAGGACTTTCTAAGGGAAACTGGCTCGTATACACGTTACACATGGGGAAAACCACGAAAACGCCCATGCAGCCAGCCCGTTCGCGGGATTCGAACCTCAGACCGAACTACCAGTGTATAAGCAATGATGAAAATCAACTGTTATTGCTCTGTTTCTTCTTGAATTTTGAATACCACAAGTTTGATAACAAATGTTTTATTGTAGGAGTTGCAGACAGAGCTGCAGCTCAGAATTCTGCAGGATTTGTTTTTGTTTTGCTTATGAAAATACACGAGAGCAATAAATCTGAAACATTTTCAGATTTGCTGAAAACAAAAAAAAATTTCATTTACCCACTCCAAAAACATAAGAATTACTTTTCTTTTTAATTTTATTTAAAAATTTTATATTGATTTATAAACCATAAAAATGAGAAAACTTGATTTGCAATTCTGTAATCTTAATTTCTATATGTATAAGACTGGAGTGGCTTTATTCAAAGCCTTCAAAGGCCATCTGACCAAAGCTCTTTCCTGATTCTAATTTGGAAACTGAAAGTCTGGTCTTCCTTAACAAGTTCTATAAAAAATTTTAAGATGATAAACATTTTTAGTATCTTTATACAACACAAAAATTTTTAAGTGTGCTCCTTCTTAAAAACTATAAAACTTGAAACATTCATATCTAATTTGAGATTTGATACCAAACTTATTGACACTATTAACTGGGATCGAATATTTAAACTGATTTTTGAACAGAAAACACATGCCATATTCAAAAGGCCTAGAAAAACACGCATTGAATAAGTTATTATATTAAACATTATACACGGAAGAAAACTGATTGGGTAATGACATAGAGATTCTTTTCACTAACATAAATAATACTGCTTGATGATATAGAAATATGAATCATATATCACTTTCTGATATATTCAATTACTGAAAATTTACTTTTAATTAATATACTTTGTTTATTTAATTTGGGGGGGATAGGGGATCAAAATGCAAGAAACTAGGCTCAAAACATTAAATTCATAACATATAATTTTACAAGGGAGTAATTTATTTGTGCTAAAAGGAGAAAAAAAAAATTAGAGCAGGTTAACAATGCAATGTTCAACAAATAAAAATACAGAAATTTTCTTAAATGTACATACTTCTTCAGTCCTGCGCTGCTCTTCAACACGAGTTACATAGTCAGGAGTAGAAGATTCATTGTAAGGAGCATAATAATTTTTTATTGGATAATTTTGATCACTAGCTTTTAGCTGGATATGTGGAGCAACAGGCCCTCCAGGTGGTAAATCTGCTAATTCTTTATCAGCTTGCACTGCAGACTTTCATAAGAGAAAAAATAATAATAATAATAATAATAATAAGTGCTAATCATAAAAATAACTAAACAAACAAAAATTTTATTCACTCCAATGAACTTCCTAGTGAAAAATAAAAACACTAATAAAAACAAATACACTCCTGTTGTTTCTGCATCAAATCTACTAAAATATATATATATTAATTTCTTGAATACAAAATAACATTTGATGTATAATATTTGCATATCTGTTAAGTAATAAAAAATCAATTCACACTGATTTTCATAAATGTGTTAATTCTTACCAATTTTTTTGCCAAAACAAAATCAGAAAGTACTGTGTACCAAAACAATGGTGAAATAAGACAAAAATTTAGTTTCAGCTTCATGTGACTTCATGAATCTTACCAATATTTTTCTTACTTCTAAATGTTTACCATAATAACGTTTTCTTCCACAACACTTCTTGACTTAGCCTTAACTTATCAATAGAAACATACTTATTTAAAAGGAAAGAATAAAAGAAAAAAAAAGCAATGAAAAGATATAGATTCACATTTTTAATTTTATAATTTCTATGTGTCATCTTAATAGATTTAAACTGATGATCTAATTAATACCCAGGAAAATCTCAAATCCAGAATCGGCAAACTCCTGATGACTCCAGATTTCAGGCTTCCCACTGTACGTATCTCCCCACTGAGAAATAAACTTCATTATTTTAATCTATCATCAGCAATATAATCTTGTTCTTGTGATTTCCATTGCTTTTACCATATCATAAATATGTGCATAGCATGACTTATAGATGTGCTTGAAATTTTTCAACACCAGATGCATATCATAGTGTTTGGATTGTTTCCCTATGTTTTATACTACAAATTATACTTAAGTACCACAACTGCAACTTCACTACATAAAATCTTCCTAATCCCTCCATCTTCAGCTATACCTCGAAATTTGATCTCATACATGCATGCGTATACGGTATCCACAAAATCCTCACCTGTGGATTTGTGAATATATGGTATCCACAAAATCTTAATCTGGCCTTTACTTTTGTGAGCGAAGATTATAGTCGTATACTTCCAATTACAGAAAAGTTTTAAATAATGTGAAGATTCATGTTTTCATATTATTAAATTTTTAACAATTTTTTTGTAAAATACAAAATTTCACTTTTTATATGTTCTCCTGTACCTATATTTAAATTTAGGAAAATTTTTTACTCAATATACAAAATAAAAAAAGTTTGACTCTCACAGAACAAAAATTCACCGAGTTATTTAGTATTAAAGTTGCAAATTGTATTTATGCAACTAAAATACTGAAATTGGAGAGTGAAATGTTTGCATGTATACTTAACTAAAAATAAAATATCAGTTTAGAAAGAAATTTGAGATGTTAAGAGATTACAGCATTATTATGCAGATTACTGTGAAAAGTATTAATACTTGTGCAAAAATTCTTTCAGCATATCAAATAAAATAAAATTATACATTAAAGATCCTAATAAATCACAAAAAAGCACCATTGATTTTCAATGGGGAGGGGGATTTAAACTCAAAATTTATTTCCTAACCAAACACTCGCAGCAAATCGAATGACATCAAAAATTCCAAATTTTGAAATCAATTTTTGTCATATGAAGTCAAACTTTTTGAATTTTATTATTTCTTTGTACGAAGTAACAGAAGCATTTTAATCACGAAAAATTCTGGGTGCCATACTTCAACAAAAATACCCATTTTGAAAGCTATCGAACGCAATTTAACGATGTTTTTGCATGACATCTGTACATAAGAACAGAATAAAGGACTCCTTTCCCCATTTAAAATGGATTGATTCAAAAGAGAGTTTTCGTCATGTCTATACACACACACTCTGTTACTCGGCTCAGTAAGCTTAATTTTTTTATTCTTATATGTTGGTAAATTTGGCATTTTTTGCTTTAAAAATGATTGAATTATGTTGGTCTTATCTGCCGGTTAAGGTTTTTCTGCCTTTAGTTAATCTGCAGCAATATTTGTAGAATTATCAACAATTTAAAAGTTGTTTAAGTGCAGCTATGCCTAATTATTCTTACCATAGAACCCATATCTGTTTACATTTGAAACTTAGCAGAATATTGAATGAATTCTTTCTGCACCTTCAGCGTCCTTTTGCTGAGTGGGACCAAAGGAAACTTTCAGTTTTGTGCACTGAAAAATCTGCCTTCTTGCCAGCTGGTCAAATTGCTTGTTTTTGTGTAGAAACTACAATTTTAAGTGTAAAAAAAAATTTTTTTTAATTGTTTTAACTGTACTTGGTGTTTTATAATTTTCTATATCTTTCAATTTTTAACAAAAATATTATGAGCTTTTATATATTTTTGTCTTGCCACAAAGTGAGAATTGAAATAATTGAATGAGAAATATATCTCTAATGAAATTGGAGAAAATAAGTGTTTTGTATTAGCAGCAAATAGCATTGTCGGCAGTCTGTCTCAGACAGAGAAGAATGTTTACAAGTAGCGCATTAGGTAAGCAGTGTTGAATCGTTTGTGACAAATTGTTTCTTTTTTATTTGTTTAGTTTCTTTTATATATTGTTTTAGATTTATTATAGTATTTGAATGGAACACGTGCCACCGATTAGATGATTCTTCAAATGATATATTTTTTATGCATCCTGAGTTAGAAAATGAATGAGATGTAATGCTGTTAACTAAAACCTAGTGTCAGAATGTCACTATGGTAAATAAATATAGTAAATTTTAAAAAGTGCATTTATTCTATTGTGTTTTCTGTGCTATAGACGATGTAGATTTAATTCAATGAGTTTAAATGACATGCAGGAAAAATGCGTATAATTTAATATTCCGTACAAGGAAGTCATGCGGTGTACACATCAGCCTTTTTTTTATATATATAATGAGTATAAAATTGTCCTAAATATAAGTATAAGGATTGAAGGAATGCATAAAAAGTTAGACTTTACAGTTTTGCACATTGATTTGTTTAAACAAAAAAATGTCAAAACATGAAATTTTCCATCATTTAAAATATTTTTCTAATTGGAAGAATATTTATATGACCAATAGCTGCAAAAAATAAAGGCCCGGTAAGGACTTTTATGGACACGGGATATATATGTTTAAACAAAAGACAAAATAAAAGTAAAACAAGAACCCAATTATTAGCTGCCAGTTGCAATATATCAGCGGCAATATTTATTAAGAATAAAAATGAACAAAACAAATTCAAGTCACATTCACACACGAATATAATAAATTACAGAGGGTGTTTACACACTTATAGAACAATTTCAATAGAGAATTTTTTTTAAAAAAAGCAAATGCTTCAGAATAAAACTTTATGGCAATGGCTCATTATTTGAAATGAGACACACTGTTTACTACTTCTAAATTTATTCCTCTTTTAAACTGTCACAAATAAACAAGCTGAGGATTGAAGCATACGTCTTCGCACTTTCCAAAGAGAAATATTCCTTTTCCATAGTTCAAAAAAGTTACACAGTGCATTGTATTAAAATTTTTAAGTGCAAAATATGCAAGATTATTATCTGGAAGCAGAAAATTAAACCCCTTTTTACTTAAACGTAGAAAGACTCCAAACAATACCTGAAAAAAAGGTATATAGAGTTCTAATGTTGCTAAAGTTTTAAATCATTGGTAACAAGGGAAAATCCGTGAATGCAGCAATCAGTCCCTTTAAAGTATTTAAATATATGTGTAGCAACAATAAATAAAATATTAAACCAAGATTTAAACTTAAGCTATAAAACATAATGTTCACTAGCTTTTGTCCAGGCACATCACTCAACACAGAACAATTTGTAGAACCTTGTATTGTTCCATTTCTTTATCCCAATGTTCTGAGAGAACAAAACTTCATGAAGACAATTCAACAAGCCATACTTCAAACTTCAAAACGCATCACAGCATTTCTTTTTTTTAAAAAAAAAGAAGAAGACTGATACAAGTATGTTATATACAAGGTTTGAAAAAAAGCATACAGTCAAAAGTCTTTAATCCGGACTCGTCGGGATTTCAGTGATTCCGGATTATTGATTTTTCTGAATTATAGATCAGCAGTTTAAATCTAGTAAGATGGCATGCAGAAATTATAAATAAGAAACTGTAATTTATGAAAAAAAGAACAAATATGATCTAAAGGGTATCAAAATTTACAAAAAAAAAAAAAGTTTAATATTTATTTGTTTACTTTATTAAATATTTCTTTCAGCTTGCGCATGCGTAAAGCATACATTACGCATAGTCGATATTAGAAAATTGCAACCAGAAAACTATTTGATGTGTATTCGTGATATTTATAATGAATTTGATTTAAATCATATCAAAGACAGAGTACATCAAGATGAAATACTACATTTAGTAATGAACTATAAGGCGAATAAAATAAAAACATCTGCTCTGAAGATAAAGATAGTGCTGACAGATCAACTTCCAGTTCATTGCGCGCCGCGACGTTCTCCTTCCCCGCAGAGCAGCGTGAAATTGATAAACGGATTTCAGAATGGTTAGAGAAACAAAAAATATGCCTTTACCATTTTTGCAGCCATTCTTCTTTTTGTTTGATAGACATCAAAACATGCTTTCGCTTTGTAGATCCTTTGGCAGTATCCAGCATCGGAAATTCTATTTGACACAATCAACAGTTCAAGCTTACTTTTATAAAATTGCTCTAACAGTCTGCAAAAAATAATAAGCTGGATCCAATTCGAAGATTAAAGAACAACGCAATCTGCAACATTAACTGAATTAGATAATTTTAGTTTAGCTTATACCGTCTGCTACACATTAAATGCGCATGCGCAAACGTATTATGTGCATGAGTACACACATATGCGCAAGCATAAAAGATATTACGTGCATGCATAAACGTACTATGCGCATGCGTACGCACATATGCGCAAGCATAAAAGGTATTACACGCATGCATAAAGGTATTACGTGCATGCATGAATGCATATGCGTACGCATGAATGCATTACGCGTCGACGCATGCACAGAAAGTTTGTAGCTTTGAAGTCCGGATTATAGATCATTCTGGATTATGGGCGTCCAGATTAACAACTTTTGACTGTATATACAAGTATTGTACATACGCCTTTTTCCACCTATTCCTGCAAAGTCCCCCAATGTTTCACCTACTGACTATTGTGCCTTGTCTCTTGAAAAACGTCTTTCAAAGCGCAAACCTACTGTGATCGATGGACTCTGGAAAGTAGTCGAAAACAAATGGAAATCAATACCCCTGGATATTTTACAAAAAGCCTTTCTATCATGGAAATCACGATGCAGAATGTTCCAAAGCTCCCAAGCAAACCAACATATGAAAAAAATCAATTTCATAGAAAAATTACAACAGAAGATTTTTTTTTTAAATAAAGGTAAATGGATTTTACATCTCTGAGTACATCTTCTTTAGGAGGCTGGTGTAGTAAGAGAAGTAAAAGCCTGTATCTAAACTGACAAATTTACAAACATATACATAAAGGTACTCTTCTCTTATTGGGACTGGAGGCCAGAAACATTAAAATATTCATGGATCAAATATCTGAACAACAAAACTTAATATAAGGATTTATCTCAAATCAAAAGGTCCACTAATAAAATACTACTTTTAAAAAATACTAAATCTCTAATGTAAATATAGATAATTTTAGATGGATTTCATATTTACAAGTGAAATTTTTTTGATACACAACACACGATTTTTTTTATACTTTCCCTTTTCTGTGGCCCCCTAGTTTTTAAACACTGTCAAGAATAGCGATAAACCATCAACAACAGTCTTAATGCAAGTTACTTAAATTTGGCAAAATAAAGCTATTTAATTCGAAACTGAAGTAAACCACATGCAAAAAAAATTATGAACTGATCACATTTGAATTAATTTTAATACATTCACTGTAATTCCGTACGATAATTACTGTTCTGTGTGGTAATTACTTCATGACGCCATTTCAAAAAAGCTTCTTTTAGTTGCCATTATTTGATTCTTAATTTGAAAATTGCACTGATGTTTACATTACTGATATTTACACTTAATTAGTTTATTCATCATGAGAAAAGCTATAAGTAAGCTGTGTTGAACATGTTTTTCCCCCCTTTAAAAATATGTAAAAAATATTTTACTTACTAACAACTGATTTTAAAGTATTTTCTTTAAAAAAATGTTAATGATTTTTGATTTTGTGACAGCTGAAGAAGATTCATTTCAAACAAACTTGGGAATTATTTTGGCACAATTACCATGGAGGCCATGAAAATAGAAAAATATCCTTTTTTTAGACTGAAGACATTTTTTAAACTTACGGGTAATTCTACTGGCACTTCGGACTGGGACAACTTTCCAACTCGTACAAGGTATGATAGAAAATCCCTAGCAGCATTAGTCTGAGCATCTTTTTTGTTTGTAGAATTCCCAACACCTACATAATCAAATCCAGGAACTGTCACCTATATAAAAATACAATTAATACATTTAAAATGAAAAAATAAAAAGTTCAATTAAAACCTGGAAAAGATGGCCTATTTTAAAACACTATAGCTGTAAACAGTAACTGAAATTAAGGTTTAAATTTAAACTATAGAATAACTGTGCAGCTACGATAATATTTGATTTCACTAAACTAAAACTGAGTAACCTTGAAACTTCAGTTATCTAAAAGCATGTCTATTTTGTCATCGAAGGAAAAAAAAAGATAAATGTATACTGAAAGTATATACTTATACTCTGTGATTTAATAACTATCCTGGTTGTTCATTTAAAATAAGTGCCTCAACTGCAACCGTTTTGTGTATATTAAAACATTTCAGACATAAAACATTTTTCGACTATTCAAAATATCAATAATTAACTATGATTCCAATAATTTTATTTGCATCTGCATGAATTTTTATTTAATAATTTATATGATATTTATATGGTAAATCTTCAAATCATCTTTAGCCAGTAATATAACTTCCCTAGTTACAGAATATACAGAAACACAATTTTTTTACAACTTTACATAGTTAAACAGGTATAAAAGAATTTCAGAATAGAATTTAATTATTAAATTGAAATGTATCCATTACTGAACATACTGTATTTATTCAAATACCTCCCCTTATATATAAAATTCTCATGGCATTTTAGGATAAATTTTATTAAATAAAAATGTAGGAGAATATTCACCTCATCTTGTATACTTCTAAAAAAGAAAACCTTAATATTTTACCTTTAAATAATACTAACATCAGCAGTGGCTAAATGACATTGTTAGTGATATAGAGTAATTATTTATTTATTTTTAGGTAGACTAGTAACCAGTAAAATGGATGCTAGCCTGAACTTAAATCGCTCAGCTAGGTACAACTATTATAATTAGCAGCAGCTGTGTAGTTTTATATATGGTAATTACCTACATTATTTCTTTAACACTTAAACAGCTAATCTGTATTGTATGATAATTAAACTTCTTCCTCTGATTTTGCTATTTCATTTTTTAAAAAAAATTTGGAAGAAAAAATTAAAACAAAAAATTAAAATAAAGAAAATGTTAAAAATAATATGAGAATAAATTAAGAACAAAATTTGACAGCTTTCAGATTTTATATTATGCCCATAAGGGCGTTTTTTTTTTTTTAAAACATTTTTGTGTTACCTTTATTTATTAAATATCACGTTCTTTGGACTTAAATCATAAAATTCAATTCAACAGCAATATCAAAAAATATTTAAAACAAATATATCTTTAGAATTTCTGATACAGTCTCATGTGCTGGAGATAAAAAAAAAAATTTCCCCCTTCCCATCGCACAGGATTGCCATTGCTTTCTTAGAAATCATTGAGTTTGTTAATCAAAAATTTGTTAAGCATAGGGTTGCTATTGCTCGTTTAGAAATCGTTGAATTCGCTAATCAAAAATTTGTTAAAGTTTTACAAAATAAGAAATAGATAATAAATCAAATTCCAAATTCCTCATTTGGACTTCCAGATGCCCATATTCGAGTGCATATTCCATATTCGATTGAAGACTAGATTATTCAAAATTTGATACCTCTAGGTATTGTCATTTTTTAACAATGCAAAAAACATGCACACATTCATGCAGATTCATTATTTAATTTCTTTAAATATAATGCAGGGTTCTAATGTTTGGTGGTAACAATTTGAAAAGTGAAATGCCATTTTATACTGAACCAATGGAAAATACCAAAATGAAATTAATAGCTCTTCTGAGCAAACTGCCCCTTTGCACTCAAGACTGAAAAAAAGGATCTCATTTTCGAATAAATATGGTAAATAACCTAAGATAAAATTATGACACAAGAAAGTAACTAATAACTAGTAATTATTCGCCACTTCTGACTTTCACTTAAATGACGTCTTTGAGCCATAACTACTAAATAATGATCACACATTCACTTTAAACAATATTACAGACCGAAATTGCAACAAGCATCGATTCTGCACTACATCATCGAATTTGTATACCGCATTTGACGGCATATAAGATGCACATTTTTCCTAAATTTGGTCTCAAAAAAAGTTATCTGCGTCTTATATGTGAAGGACACAGGTTAACTTTAAATACTGAATGCTATTTTTAGCCCGGATAAAGGTCTAGACACGCATAACTTTTTCTACATCTGCCATAATTATTTTGCGCATGCATGAAATATTTGTTGCCAAAAAGCGGCAAAGTTCGAACAGGTTCAACGGTCACATTACGTCTATTGAGCCTTTCCTTCTTTACTTAGACTTTCTTGAATCAGCCGACACACGTGTCGGTATCGGTGCTACTCTGTATAAATGTGTCGGTATCGGTGCTTAAAACTGTTTGTTTTAAAAAAATACCCAGGAAAATATGACTACAGGAAACAAAAGATTAAGCTATACAATTCAGTATAAACTAGGAGTGTTAAACTACGCCAAAGTGCATGGAAACAGAGCAGCAGCAAGTGATTTTGGTCCACCACCTACCGAAAAAAATAGCTTGCCATTTGTTAATTTTCCTTAATAAAAATATGTTTTGGTAATTGCATTCAATGATTGTTTATTTGGCTTTTACGAAACGTAAAAACTAAAAGAAACCACATTTTAAGTTATTGTGGTACTGCGCTTTTGCGCGAGCTATTGGAATTTTTCTCTTGTGTGTGACCGTCTAAATAAGGGTGCGTCTTATATGCTGTCAAATACGGTATTTCTGGTGCTATTGTATGCATGGAAGAGCAATCTAGTGCTCAATTGCATTTAATTAACATCAATAATTACAGAATTGGCCACTGGTAGCAAGTGAGCATATTTTTTTTCATTATCCTTTAAATTTAATGATCAGTGTACATACTTCAATATTATTTAAAGTTATGAAGATTCATTTTCTTCAACTGTTTTTGCTAATGATGGAGCATATCTTAGTGCTCAATCATCAGGCTAGCAGTTATTCATAAATTATAAAAATAATTCTTTTATACATAGATAGTATTTCTAAGCGTGGATCAACATCATGCATTGCAGAGCAAACTGGCACTGCTCTCCATGTACATACATACTGACATGTTTTAAATTTAAAAAGATATCAGAGAATTTTTATTCCAAAAAAAAAAAAATTTTTTTTTTTTTTTTTTTTTTTTTTAGATTTTTTTTTCTGTACTAGATATGCATATTTCTTGCAAATAACTGCATCAATCAGTAGGTGTATTCGGAGACATATTGCGACAATATGAACTGTAAGAATGACGAAACTTACTAGACAGATATTCTTTAGACCAGCAATAAATAAAGCGAACAGCTGGCTTTAACAATATTCAGCTATTCTCAAACTAATTTCCTACTCGCATTCAAACACTTTTCTGGCAATTTTTAACAGTACATATTCATATAATTGGATCACATTTTCATATAATTTCATATAATGATTCTTCTCACTGTTGAGTACATAACATGAAAGTAACAAGATATTTTACTGAAAACATTATTTATATAATTTAAGGACATTTTAACCTAATTCTGCACTTTGGCAAATACTCCCTGGAAATCTGTGCTAGCTCTTCCTAAATTTAAAATTGCTTCAGTAACAAAAGTTTATTAAAACTAATTCATAAATGAATGAAATAGAACTGAAACTATAAATTCATTTCATATTTTCCTATCAGTGTGAAGATGAGGTTTTAAAAGTTATTGTCATTAAAACCAAGTATCAAAACTTAATGTGATAGGGAAAATAAGGCTAACATTATCTCAGTTTTTATTAAAAATTGATTACTTTTCAATAAGTTTTTAAATTAATAGTACATGTGATGGAAGCTGTACATTAATGAATGTTTCTTAGATAAAAATCAGAACAAAATTAAATGTCAGAAATACAGAATTTATTCATGTTATTTCACAGAAAAATATACATATTTCAAAATATATTTTTTCGTGTGTATACATAAGCATCAATATTTTTTAATTATCCAATTAATTTTTTTATTATTTGGTTCTCATATTTTCTTATTTATAATTTATTTTCATTTTCTCCCATTTATATATATATCAAAATTAAAATATATGAAGAGAGATTTTTCATGTACTATAGGCTTCTTGAAACATGGAATTTTATTTAAAAAGTTCTACAAGAAAGAAAAAGGTGAAAAAACTGATCTTCAGAAAATACAAAAGAATTGTTTCCTACCTCGCACAGAAATCTTTGTCTTTGTTTAGATCCAGCAGCTCTAACTTCATATGATGGTGTAACTTTATTCTTTCCACACCAAGCATAAAGAAATGACTTTGTAACATCACCCATTGTATATTCACTGCAAAATAAGCAATAATAATTAAAATATTAAATATTCTGTCTTCATAAGGAAAAAAAATTTTTAACGTACTTCGTACTTTTTGATTACATGGCTAATTACACAACAACAAATTAACTAAATTAAAAATGTAACAAACACCCATAATAAAACTTTTTTTCTTCACAGTCTCTTGCCCTGGTGTACAGCAATCTGTTTAAACTTTAAAAAAAAAAAAATCAAAGAATTGCAGAATTCTCGGCATCACACAGTAACTTGGTACTGCTCTCCACGTACAGATCGATCTGTTTTCACTCAAAATCATCAGATAACTGCACAAATTAATTTCATGGAATGTACATTCCAGCACTTCCTACTGTTAGGCAAAATATCATATACCTGCAAAAAAAAAAGGTAACACTTTTTTTTTTTTTTTTTTTTTTTTCATTAGCAGGCCAACTCCTCAATGGCTTTATGATGCATTATATCAGAAAAAAAAAAAGCCACAGACTAACCACAATAAGCAGAAAGTTTCAAAACCACATACACTGCATACTGGTGTAATGTAACCATTAACGAATTGCTAGATAAATTCTCTTTCATAAAATGCTGGGTTGCCAACTTTGGTGACATAGTGCTTTGTCTCATTATTCTCATCAGGCTGGGCAGATAGTCAGAAAGTACCATGATTTCCTAAAATAGCATAATGTTAATGTTCCCATTACCTGGAAAATCATCTATGAATTCTACCAAATGAAGACACACTAAACTGTAAAAATATTATGCAAATACAAAGTATTCTGTCTTGTCAGTTGCATAATCTAACAATTAAAAAAAATAAAAAAATTCCTACAATAATGTCATCATACACTGCATTTGTTTTGATTTATGAAAGCATTGGCGAGTTTTTGTTTTGACAACCAGTATTTTGGTTTATAAGGGCTGTAATTCTGGTTTCTGAAATATCGAATGATAATAATTTACAGGATTGAAATATGCTATTTCACTTCAGTGTCGCATTTAAAATGTTACAATTATGCCCTTTTTTTAACATATATTAATCAAGGGATCAAGTTTACAGATATTATATAATTTGGACATCAGTAAAATACACTAATGACACGTACACAGCTCTTGATTCATATATGGTTAAATAAAATGCAGGCCAAAAGAAGAATGGCATGCTTATTGATAAGGAATTTTACACAGCAAAGTTCATGTTTCAGTATCACTATTCAAATTACAAGAATTCTGACAAAATACCAAAAAAGTTCTGGTTTGGTTTATTTAATTATGAAGCATATACGGGCTATCTGCCTAAGAGGAGGGATGCCTTTGTGGAACTCTTTTTGAGGAAAACTGGATCATAAACATGAAACACTTGGGAAAATTATACAAGGTAACCAAAAACGTTCTTGCTGTTTCTGATAAAACATTGGAAAAGAAACGTCTCATAATAATCATCTCAACATAAAAATAGTCACCAAACCTGGTGATAAAGTAGTTAGGATGGGAATCTGAACATTGACCAAGAGTATAAAAGCGCATTGCGTCGGTACTTCAAACATAACTCACACAGCGACTGATTGAAATGGACACTTCAAAGGTGCTTGTTCGGAGTTGTTTGCTATATGATTTTAAAGTGGGCCTGTCAGCAACAGAATCAAGTTGCCGAATTTGCCAGGCTTCTGGGGATGAGCCATTAACAAACGAACCAGTAAGCAATGTTTCCTAAAGTTCAGGTCAGGGGATATATCTTTTAGTGATGCACCACGCAGCAGTCGGCCACAAGCGCTGGATGATGAGGCCCTGCGAGAACCATAGAGAGTGGCAGTAGCCAAACATGTGAGCTTGCAGCACACTTCCAAGTATCTGATGAAGCAATCAGTGTCTATTTGCACCGTATAGGAAAGGCATACATGCTGAGCAAGTTGGTACCCCCCTCATTGTTCGAAGCAAACAAGCAACAGCATGTTGCTGCCTGTTTGTCAATGCTTACTCAACACCGCAATGCATCCACATTTGATTGAGTACTCACCAGTGATGAAAAGTGAGTCCAGTATGACACACCAAGGCATTCCAGACATTGGTTGTCACCACAAGACTCTGTTGCTGAAGCATTGTGAGACCTTCCCTCCACCCACGAAAGATCATGCTCTGTATCTGGTGGACTAGTCGCCAAGTGGTGCACCATGAGCTCCTCCGGTGGGCCAAATCATCATGGCAGGCCTGTACTCGTAGCAACTGGAATGCATGCATCAGGCACTGATGCATTAAGAGGCAGCATTGATCAATCATTAGAGTGTACGCCTCCTCCATGACAATGTGAGGCTGCATGTGGCTCAGAAGGCCAGAGACATCATGAAGCGGCTGGGCTGGGAGACACTACCCCATCCATTTTACTTGCCAGACCTTGCGCCAACAGACTACCACCTTTTTCATTCCCTGGGCAACCATCTTCGTGAAAAATCCTTCAACAACCGGCCCGACCTCAAAAAGGCCCTCACAGACTTCTTTGCATCCAAGATACCTGAGTTTTACTGCGATGGCATCGCACAGCCAGCAACTTGTTGGCAAAAGGCACTGGATGCCAATGGTAATTTCTCTGAAGATTATGCCAATTATTAATTGTTATACGACTCTTTCTTTTTGACTGTCCAAAATGGCAAGAACTTTTTTGGGTTACCTTGTAGAAATGCCTACGCAGCTAGCCCATTCGCCGGGATTCGAACCTCTGTGAAATTACCCAGGGTTAAAAGGAAGGTCTAGGTCAGGGTTGGCCTAACTTCATGTCAGTAAGAGACGCATCTAGATTTTCTAAAAGCCACAAGTTCATATTTACATCATTATAGAAGTAGTAGAAGAGGTTTTAAATAGAAAGATATCCCTGATAACTTTGTAAAAGAAGTCTAAACTAACTAATTACTTCCTTTTGGATACTGAATAGTTTTAGTTTACTATATTTCATACATATATTTTATATGCATAATGAGCTGCACAAATTGCCTATGGGAGTCGCATTAGGCTCGCGAGCCGCACTTTGCCCCCCCTGGTCTAGGTCATTCCTTGTCGATGTGATCCTCGTAGGCTGAGTTAACATGAAATAGTCTGACGTCTCTATGATGCATCTGCTCTGACTTCATCTGTTTAAAACTACCAATATGGACATTCCAAATTAATTTTAATCACACATATTGTTTTCTAGTAAAGCAGCGTCAAAGTCAAACTGGCATTCCATGGACCACATACGGCCTTTGAATTTTATGCTGCCTGAGAATACATTTACTGTAAATAAATTAGCATTATTATGGCAAGAATCTGAAGAAAAAGTACAAGATTTTAATGGCCTGGAGTGGAATTTTACGTTATATTCGTTACCATAACGCTTCAGAAAAATCTAGAAATAGAGCTCATTAATTTACACTGTGATATAAATCTAGTTGAAAGATTTTTTTAAGATACAAATTTGATTTAACTTTTATTAGTATTTGTCAAAAGATAAATATCTTAATTTTTTAAATAAGAATATTTGCTTTGTTTCTGAGTACATTTACATTAGAACAGGATTTTTTTAGCTGAAAATTAATAAGTCTACGAAAAGAACCAGACTGCTGATGAGTATCTACAATTAGTGATGATACTTTTTAGCAATTTCCCTCCAAGATTACAAACTTCATGAAATTCTGTTTTGCATCACAGAAAAATCTAATAAACAAAAGAAAGAAAATAGGTTGTCATTATTTATTCTCAAGTTTTGTCCCTCTTGGGAAGCTTTCATATATTTCTTTTAATTTAAATTAAAAGTAAGTCACTTAGTAGTTCAATATATTACAATTAATTAATAAATGCCAATCTGAAAATTTTAATATTTAGCTGTTTATTTCAATTCTACATTGCAACCAACATAAATTTCTTGCAAATAACATTTTTTAGATTTCAGACATAAGTATAAATTTGATATTTTTCTTTGTGTTATTTTTATTCTTATTTTTTTTACAAATATCTATTAAAAAGTTTTTAATTTAATTAACAAATTTTGTTAAAAAAATAAACACCACCTTCACCCCCCTCTCCTATAATTGCTGTCTATCTGCTACTTTCAAATTGTGTGTTGGCCCATGTGCAATGTAAATTTGAGACAACAATTGTATTGTTTATGTAATACATCTTCTTGTACTGTAAGCAAAGTGACATAAAATTCATTGAAATGAGACAGATAGTGGTATTGTATTTCACATTTTTCCAAAGGACAGTTTGCTTTTAGCGAAAAAAAAATGGATACATGTGTCTAAGACAGGGTTCTATTAATGCGAAAAACGGAAGAATTTGCAGGGATTGAGAAGATGACATGAAAATTTGCTTGCTTGGATTGTCGCAAAAGAAACTGTTAAAATCCAATACTGTGTGAAGAAAAGGAAAATAATGCAGTGCTTTTGAAAGACTACACAATTAAATTTGAAGAAAATTCATTTTGAGGCCGCTTACAAAAATGATGATAGGAATAGTTGCGTTATTTTCTTCCTTTACGTTCGTACGGGGTTCGTAGATTTGCGTGAATAACGACAACACTTGATGAAGTATCAAAACACACTTTATTTAGCCAATATTAATCAAGACAGCTCCAATAACACTTTTTTCAGTCGTCGAAAATCTACTATAAACACTTGTGTATCGGACAGGATGATCAGCACCATCTTGAAATTGGTGCCGATCCTTCCTGTCGCCGATCGTGGCATAAAAAAAGACACTATTCGATAAGGGGTATAGTAAAGTAAATTTTAACCAGATTTGGGGGGGGGCTAAATTTAAAAAGCTGTTATTTTAGTTATCTTAGAAAGAGTAATAGAATTCTACCACTTAGTATGCAGATAAAGAAAAGATAATGACTGCCATAGTTTTTTCCCTCCATGATTTAATGATAAATGCACAGGGTGCAACTTTTAAGAAATCATAGCACATTTTATCTATTACTAGTAGCTTCGCTGCCTGCCTTCATCTGGCTTTTAAATATACTGGAAAAATGGCTGAAGGGAACACCAAACGTTAAATTTAAAAACTGCGTAGAATTTTACTCTGCAGAAAAACTTCATAAAAAAAGTTATTTCGTATAACAAAATTACAATGAAATAAGCAATATCCCTTAATACAAATATTAATTATCCTAATAAATAAATTAATCAACTTAATAAATTAATTAAGCACAAAGAGTATTTATCAAATGGCTGCAGAATCCAATAAAAATACTTAACTATTTATTCAAGAATCAATCCGTGTTTATATTATACAACAACAGAAGAAACAGATGATTTTTAACTCGCAGGGATGCATGCTTGCCATATAAGCATACAGATGTACAAGCTGAAAAATGTCTCAAATTCAAAAGTAAAGAAAGTAATTTGAATATGGCAAAGCATACAAGGGCTCTCTACTAAGAGGATGATTCCTTTATGGAGAACTTTCTAATGGAAATTGGTTAGCATTCTTGCTATATATAGGAAAAATTATAAAAGCCAATAACGCACCCAGCCCATTCACTCAGCCATTGGATGGGCTAACTTAAGCTCATGGGCAAATTATTATTATGAGAGAAGAGAACATGAAAAATTGTTTGTTAAATTGAGGACTGCCATAACAAAAAATGCTTAGTTTTCTAGCTTAGAAAAGAATGTTCACTAAAAATTTAATGTCTACATACATACTTTTCTTAGTACTATATATGAATAAGCATGATTATTTATTTATACTAAATTAGCATATTAATTATAAAATGTGATATCACTGTTAAATTTCTTTTAAGTAATATGTATTTAAATATTAAGTGTCCTGTTTCTTCAGTTGATTATGGCAAAGCACTTAATAGCTATCTACATAAATGGAGACGTGATTTTGTGGAAGGGCTTTCAAGGGAAACTGGCTCCTATTTTGTTAGATATGAAAGCAACCACTTTTTTTTTTATTTTTAAGAGTATCCATTAAAGCAGCCTGTTCACAAGGATTTGAACCTAGATAGCAATCTCACCCATTCTGCTATTGGAATGCTACAAAATATCTTATCATTGTTAGAACATTTTAACTGCTTCCCTGATTATTCCGAGTTATCTCGGGTTCATATATATTGCAGTTAATTACTATCCCGAGAAAACTCGGGCGAAGCAGAATTTGTTAGTACGATTTCTTTTATCACGGTTTTACTCGGTCTGGAGGAAATGAAAGGAAATATTTAGCTTTGATTGGCAGTTTGCCAAAATTTTGTTGGTTGCGCGGTTCTTTTGGAGGGACTGGTCGCATGTTTCCCTATTGTATAGTATATGTTGGCTTGTGGATTAGTAATGTATAAAGAAGGATGCATGCGTTGGAAAAAAATAAAATAATGGCGACGATGGAAGATAGCGAAAGCGATCATTTTTCAGATAGTGATTATGAAAAGGTTGGGAAAAAAATTTTAAAAAATATGTGTACATGGTATTCTTTGAAATTTATTGTTGTTAATTTATTAAAGCGAGGTGTGCGTAGTTCGTAGATTTGTTCGTTGCCTAGATTGTGCCATTTATAGATGTTTTTTTAAGTTAAAACATATCGCTGTGTACATGGACTCTTATCAAATATTTTTGTTTAGAAACTTTAAGTTTTTGCTATCTAAATTTTTTGTTTTTGTTTCAGATTTTTTAGCTTAAATTGTGTGTTCAAAATGTGGTTTTTGCATTCGCGAAAACTGTGTTTTTGGAAACATTTTAGGCTTAAAGTTCGAAATGTAGACAAAAGGTTTAGATAGCAATATGGCAGCGTGTAGTTTCTCGCCAAAAATGTTTGGCGACTTGAGGGCGCATATCAGAGTAGTTCCATTTCCCTGAACAAATTTTGGCTGCTAAACTTAATTTTTCCCCGAAAAAAGTATTTGAATAAGTGATCAGCCAAATTCTTTTTTCGCAAAGACCTCTTTTGATAACTTCACTTTTAGAAAAGATAGTGTCAATTTCAGACAAAATAATAAATAAGTAAAGACTAAATTACATGTGCCAATGATAAGTGTGTTGCAAACTGCAAATAGTAATAAAAGAAAGAAAGAGGAATGAAAGAAGGAAGGCTGCTACCTCTAAACAGTGCATTAATGGAATTATCAGCTTTAAATTGATTTTGCAGCTGCCGGGCTTCAATCTTTGATCATGGCAGTATTTGAATAGGTTTTTATCAAAGACACATCAACAACATCAGCTGTTATTGCTATTTTCGACAACTGTTACTGCTATTTTCGACAGCATTTACTTTTACTGAGCTCTGTATAGTTGTGTTTCCTTACAGTAATTTACAGAAGCACTAAGATTTTACATGTAGACCACTTTAAGATGGAATGCAAGTTAACTTAATAATGACTTCATTGTTCTTTTTATTTTTTTTATTTTTGTGTGTATGTGTGTAACAATATATGTGTATGCAACATTATTCAGTACCCTATGACTCTACAAGCACGATAAAAATTATAATGGAATTTATAATAAAAATTTTATAATGAAATAATTTTTTGCTCAAATTTTATTATATGGATTCCAAAAAAATTTCAAAATAATACAGAAAACATACATTTTCGACTCCAAAATGGTTTTTCTTTTTTTTAACTGCTTATGGTCATTGCTTATGAATTACATCAAATGACAAAGAATTCTATTAAGCAATATTTAAAGAAACGAGGAATTCTTATAAAAGTCTTACTGTAGTAAAAAACCCTTTTCATCCTTAACAAGTACACCAACATGGATTCTGAAAACGTCAGTATGATAGATGTTACATCGGGTCAAGTGCAAAATCGCCCACTTATTTCTTTAGCGCTTTTTACAGGAGTAAGAATTGGATTTTTCTCAATTTTCTTTGACTTTTCAAGTGAAAATAGGTCAATTTGTACATGGATAAAAACAAGGGAGTGAACAATGCCATTTTTGTGCAATTCTGGAATGTTTTTTTGAAGTGAAAATAGGTCGATATGTACATGGATACCGGGTATGTGCAATTCATAAACACGCGCCAAGCAGTGGATGATTCTGCACTTTTCCCGTTAAATCTTATGCCCTTTGAGGAAAACATGCTAATTACAGCTATGTTTACCTTAATTGCGATTATCAGTCTTTCTTTCCATTTACATAAATTTCCTTTTATTATTCTCCTAATTACTTTTAATGCGCATTTCTTTATCTTAAGCAGCCTATCACTGCGCCTAAATCTATACTTAAATCATAATTTTGCTACAATAAATATAAAAGATTTAGCAGTATATCATGATGTTATTAAACTGTTTATTTTTATAGAAATGATAAAAATAGTAACTTAAATTTTAATTAACAAAGATTCGTAACTAATTATAAGCTATCCAACAATTCGAAGCGTCAGAGAAGTTATACTAAATATTTTGTGCATGATTTTATAAACAGAAATTAAACATATACATCCACCACACCCAACATTAACAATGTATCAAGCAATCAAAAATCAAAACTTACCTTCATATATAATTATATATCACTGACACATGTAACTTTCACAAAACAAATCAGTAGCTTCACATAAGTGTAAAGATGACCGGCGGCTTTTAGCTGAAGTTTAGATGTCTTCCGCATTCAATCCTAAAATAAAACACGAGATCTGGAGAATAGCTGGTCCTAAGACATTTCAATTTTATAGCCATACATTCTAAAACTCAGCATATATTACTATAAATCTGGTTTTGGTTTTATTAAAGAAGCAACTTAAGAAAAATCAAGGACATTAACGTCTTCTTTAGGCCTCATGTAGTTAATGAGATACATTCTGCAAGAGAAGAAGAGGAGAAATATGGTCACACGGTTTAAGAACAACAACATCCGCACGTGCTATCTCACCTGCAAATGTATGGTGTGGACATTCCTTGGGTCTAGCAGGTCCCTTATCTTGGGGTGATCCTCAGTAAATCTCTTACATGGAACCCACACGTTACACATATTCTGAGGAAGTTTCGAGCTAGTAAAGCTTCACTCTTCCTCTTAATTGCTCGAAACAGTGTTCTATCTATTGATAATAAGTTGCTCATTTACAAAACCACGTTGCGTCCAATTCTTAGTTATGCATGCCCCGTCTGGGCATACTCGTGCAAAAGTTTGAGAAAGCAGTTACAAGCTGCCCAAAACGGGGTATTGCGTATGATATGTAATGCCCCCTGGTACATTCGGAATAGCCAAATTCGTAAAGAGTTAAGAATAGAGGATCTTTGTGATTTTTATTGCCGCCTATCTAGAGCATTTTATGATAAACAGGAACTTCTGGACAATCCTGTGGTTGTTAACTATTGTTATGATACTAGGGACCCCAATTTCAGTAAACGCCCAAGAGCGATCCTAAATGTTAGTAATGTGTAATTTTGTATATGTGTTATGCAAATTGTTGCTCAGATTCTTTATTGTATATTGTTCTTTTTTCCTCCTGATTACTTTTTGTTTTTACTAGTGGCACTATGGCGTCGCACTTCGTATTTTGTTTCTCTTGTGTGTACATGTATTCTTCTGTGAAATAGTTGTTAAAAAAAATAGTTAATTATGTATGGATTAGTAATTAGGTACTTGACGAAAAAATATGTATTTAACTATTAGCAATTATGAATTTAATCTCTTGCTCATTTAATTATTTAGCACACTCAGTTATATTTCTCATAATTCGAAACTTTTATCATGTTATTCGATGAGGGGTAGGGCTATGCGCCCAGGCACCCTGGTTAGTTAAGCACCGCAGTTCAATTTAAGCACGTGCTATATTTACAAGAGTCGATAGCAGATATTCGGCTGAAATTAATTGCATTTTCGAATTTAGAAATTTATGGCTACTGCGAGAAATTAAAAAATACGCTTCGAAATGATTTCTCTATCCTTGATGTCAACAAGAAGAGTCTTTTGTTCTTCAAGGTAAAACATGTGAACAATATTTGTTTCAAATTAATGCCGGATATCACGGTACTTATATCAAGCTGTGCTAAGGCCGAAATCAATTAATTATGAAACATCTGTCCAAATTTCTGCAGGAAACGAAGTAAGATTTTAAAATTTTCTTATGCACAGGGGTGTTTGTACTCCGGGGATTTTGAACTTCGATACCCGGAAATTCCGGGGATCGTCGTTCAAAAGGAAGTAGGAATAATAATGAATTATTTATTTTGATCTGGGTAATTTTGTTTGCTTTGAAAGCAGAAAACGCAAGGTCAGTGTGTGTGGTGAAAACTTTTCCTTTCTTTCTCCAAAGGCAGTGATAATGCGTGAAAAGGAGGAAAAAACTTCTTTTTTGTTCTTTCCTTATTGCGAGTTATGACTCATTCCCCCCAGTTCTCGGACATTCTCTTCTGGATTCTTTTCGGCAAGTAGGCGCGGAAGAAAAAAAAGGGAGAGACTTCGTTCGAAAGATGTGCGATCACGTGACTCTGGGTTCAAAGGTCTTATCTCTCCTGGCGTGGCGCCAATAAGTAGAGAAGGGGGATTTTTCACCGTATTAGCTATTTGTCATTGATCGCTTCTCAACTTTTTTTTTCTCCGGTGTGTAAAAATTTCGTTTCATTTATTGATGCACGTGTAAATTTTTCGTTTTGTTTATTGAAATATTTTTTTATTTATGTACGCAAGAGAATTTCACTATGAAATTTCTCGATATAAATAGTGATATTATACAATTAGAAGAAGGTGTCCAGAATGCATTTAGGTGGAATTGGATTGAACGGAGAGATGGTAATGGGGATACCATCGCACATGGTGCAAGAAAATAAATGTTGCTGGACAAGCATATTGTGTTTTTTGTAACTCACTGCTGAAGTATGGTGGGGAAGGATTCAAGGCTTTCACAAATAATTCTAAAACTGTGACGCACATAAAATATTTAAAGTGCATTAGACATTCAATGACTTTAAGTAATTATGCTAATTCAAAAAATACTGATGACTTACTGGAGACTGATGCTCGGCCATTGGATATAGTGACAAGAAAAGCACGCCAAGAGGCATTAATAACTTCGTTTATCGCCGAGAATTCTCTTTCTTTCAATGTAGCTCCCAATTTAATTGAACTCTGCAAACAGTTGAGCCGCGATCAGACGGGACTAAACTCGTTGGAAATGTCTAGGACTACTGCATGTTATAAGATGAAATACGGGCTCGCAAAAACTATTAAGGAAAATATCATTAAAACTTTAAAGGAGACTCCATTTTCTTTAAATTTGGATGAAAGTACTAGCAATGCTCAAAAAAGTATACTGGCAATATTGGTGCAGTTTTATGACAATAATCAAAATGAAGTTGTAGTTCATCATTTTGCATTTCTAAAGATGGAATCTTGCAATTCAGAAGCTGTTTTTAAAGCAGTTGTTAATACTATTGAAGATAATAATGTTCCATTGGCAAACTTAGTGTATTAATGGACTCTAACACTATGCGTGGGAAAAAAAAGGGTGTTGAAACCAGACTACGATCACACAAAGCACCCCACTTATTAGATATTGATGGTGACACATGTCACACAGCTAATAACTGTGCAAAAAAATTTGCTTCATGTTTTGATAGATACTTAGAAGATTTGTTTGATGACATCTATTTTGATATGAAAAGCTGCAGTAAAAGAGAAAATTTTTTCAAAATCTGTGAATCCCTTGCCATTAAAAAACTTAAGCCCTTGAAGAGACCACACCATAGGTGGGTGTACATTTTATGTGTTTTAGAAAGAATCAAAGATCTGTGGGATGCTCTTATTGCATTTTATTTTCACTACTTGGATAAAACTGATAAAGGGAATTATTTTTCTTATGTTGAAACTGTATACAATAAAAGAAATATTTCTGCAGCTCAGAAAAAAATTGTTGAAGGGGTGTATTCTTGCTTGTATTCCCAACAACACATATCTAATTAGTTTTACAGCATTAGATCCAGAGCTAAGAGGTAAAACCAGTACAATATTAGCTTTTGAAAAATTATCATCTTTTATGTCCCATATTTTTAGTGATAATGAAAAGTCAAAAGTAGAAGCTGAAATAAGGTTATACCAGAGTGATATTGATATCACCAAAGAAATGCTCTACACATATGATGAAAGTGGAAATCAAGTCAAGTGTACAATTGATAAATATTGGCCTAAAGTTTTTAATTTAAAAGATGATTTCACACATGATTATAAGTATCCTACATTGGCTAAATTGGTCAAAGCCTGCCTTAACTGCTTCCATGGCCCATTAGTGAAAGTGCATTCAACTTAATGGATACACTTGTCACTGACTATAGAACCTCTCTTAAGATTAATTCCCTAGATGCACTGCAGACTATTAAATATGATTTAATGGCTTCTAAAGAAACCTCATGTGAAAAATATGGCTCAAAAAATCCAATGACTGATCCAATTCACAAAGATCTCTTACTGAATATGAACAGAAGTTGGAAAACATATCAAGAGGACTTAAAAATATGTATTTCAGATGAGTCACCTATAAAAGTCTCTGAAAAACCTTCTACATTAGCAGAAAAGCAAACTGCTTCTATCTCTGCATGTGCAGTTCTCGAGGAAATTTCTTCAACTGTAAATGAGGAAAATAAAAGTCAACCTTCCTGCAATTATGAAGTTCACCACAAAAGAGAGATAAGCCCACAAACATCAGAAAATAAAAAAAAAGCAACAGAAATTAGATAATTTTTTTTAAAGAATTAATTCAGGTAATTTAAAATATTTACATAAAATGTAGTAGTTTATATATATGTTTGAAAATTTATGGTTATTAATTTTGCGAAAAAAGTAATTCATTGAACTTTTATAGGTGCTACTTTGGTAGACGGTTGCACGGATTTTGGCGAGTAATACAACTTATGGTAAACCCATTGCTGGATAAGTTATTTATGGTAACCGATACTTTGTTGTCATTTTATTTAAACAATAATGCGTTTTATTGTGCATAAATTCCGTGTTTAAAATATAATTTATGGCTTTTAAATATTAAAAATCAATTTAATTTTGCATTTTTATTTGAAATAAAAATTTTACTGTTTATCATATTTTATGTTGTGGATGATGTAATCAATGACGTCACCTTACTTTAAAAGTAATTCGTTTTAATATAAATTTAATCTAATGTTTTAAACATTATTTATGGCTCTTAAATATTAAAATACAATTTAATTTTGCATTTTTTTAAAAAATGATTTTATTATGTATGAATTTTTAAATAATTTTAATTCTATCCGTGATGTAATAAGCTCTTTGATTGGTTATAGAATATTTGTGCATTAACGAGCTGTAATCAGCTCCCTGATTGGTTACTGACAATTTGTGCATTTCCGCGCCGTTTTAAAATTTAATTTATATCTTCGAATTCCTTGAAAGATGTTATCTAAATTATGATTCTGATTTTTTTTTTTGTGGTACTTATCAATAAACAACAGGTTAAACACTCAAAAAAATGTAAGTACATATTTTTCTTTTATTTTATAATTGTATACTTCAATTTTTGTTAAAAAAATTAATGCACTATTTTCAGAAATTGCTGAGATAATTGTCCATATGTTTTAATGTTAATTATATTCTATATAACGTATTTTAAAGTATTTGAATTTAATAATCTAATTCTTTTAAATGTGTTGTATGAGGTTTTTTTAATTCGATATTCAATTTCATAATATTTTAATCTAATTAAACGTTGGCCCAATGTTTTTATTCTCTTCTTTGCTATATGAAAGTAATAATAACCTTAGTATTTATACTCAAAATAAATGTATTTATCTACACTTGCCTGCCATCTTAAAAAACGACATTTTCAACAAAAAATTAATCCATTACTTTTAACGATATTTATTTAATTATTTTTTAAGTTTCGAATACTTTACTATGCGTAAAAACAGCGTTTTTCAAGATGGCTGACGTTTGTAAAAATCGCGCCAACGTAAATCGCCAAAAATCCGTGCAACCGTCTACCAAAGTAGCACCCTTTTATAATT